TTCAATAATTTAAATTTACTTTTGAATAAGGATGGTGGACCTGATGGAAATGTTGTCAGCAGATGGCGTGAAATTCTTTAATATTTTTATGACAACGGAAGTCACGTGACTCTAGTAACTCGTCATGAGATTCTGGAAGGATTTTGACTTTTCCTGACAACTCTAGTCTTTTCTAGGCGCCCTCTTTTTTTGTATATAAGTCCGGCAAATAAAGCGGAGAAAAGGATTACAGATAGATAGAGAGATATAGAGACAAATAATTGAGTTAAGCGAGCGGTAGTGACCATAAGTAAAGTGCTTGAATCGTTGTGAATTATAGCGCGTGTTTAAGTTAACGTGACTGTAGAAATTAGGTGTATTGCAAAGTTGTATTGAGAAAGAATAAACTAGTTTTATTTAAGAAAGGACCTATATCGCTGAAGTTACTCGGGAAGAATTTATACCGGAAATTAACAAACGAACAGAGATGTAACAATGGTGTTGGATATAAACGTATAGTACAAAAAACAATAACGTGTAAACGAACGGAATTCAATATCGTAGTTATTACAATGTATAATAACTCTTATAAAATCCTGTGAATCACCTGTCCTGCCCCTAAATTTGTTGTTATACAAATATAATAATGACTATTAGTCAATGGTTGTAAATAATCATTAAGTGACATACTTCAGTGCTAGATTATCACCATATGATCTAAGATGTAGATTATTAGTCTTTCACTCTATGGTTGTAAATAATCCTTAGGTGACATATACATCAAGTAGAGTATCATTATATGATCTGAGATGTAGATAGACTTTCACAACGTCATTACAGTCCACAATGTTACATCTGGTCATGGTCTATCTGACAGCTAAGAATTTTCCACTGCAAAAGGCATATCATACCTCTCTAAATGCTCTCCATAGTCCATGTAGAGTAGTTTCACAGTTCCCATTGCAATAGTCTAATCTCACAGACATCCATGGGCACTGCATGCATATATCTGACAAATAAGTCCTTGTATAGAGTAGCACGAATATCCAATTTGACTGATAAGTCATTGTAAGGAGTACCATGAATATCCAATTTGACTGATAAGTCTTCATGTGGAGTAGCATGAATATCCAATTTGACTGATAAGTCTTCATGTGGAGTAGCATGAATATCCAATTTGACTGATAACTCTTCATGTGTAGTAGCATGAATATCCAATTTGACTGATAAGTCTTCATGTGTAGTAGCATGAATATCCAATTTGACTGATAACTCTTCACGTGTAGTAGCATGAATATCCAATTTGACTGATAAGTCTTCATGTGGAGTAGCATGAATATCCAATTTGACTGATAAATCTTCATGTGTAGTAGCATGAATATCCAATTTGACTGATAAGTCTTCATATGGAGAAGCATGAATATTCAATTTGACTGATAAGTCTTCATTTGGAGTAGAGTGAATATCCAACTTGACTGATAAGTCTTCATTTGGAGTAGAGTGAATATCCAACTTGACTGATAAGTTATTGTAAGAAGTAGCATGAATATCCAATTTGACTGATAAGTTATTGTAAGAAGTAGCATGAATATCCAATTTGACTGATAAGTCATTGTAAGGAGTAGCATGAATATCCAACTTGACTGATAGGTCATTGTAAGGATTAGCATGAATATCCAATTTGACTGATAAGTCTTCACGTGGAGAAGCATGAATATCCAATTTGACTGATAAGTCTTCACGTGTAGTAGCATGAATATCCAATTTGACTGATAAGTCTTCATCTGGAGTAGCTAAAGTAGGGACGACTACGCAGATAGCTCTCATGTAGCTTTGCATGAAATTCAAAACAAACCAAACAATTTGAAAGCTGTACATGTAGACAAAGCTGAACATTTAGTAAGTAGACTAGTAGATGGAAGATTATATTACTTGAACAGTAGACAAGGTACGTGTTATTTAGTTTCAGTTTTATAAGAGATTAAGTAAACTAGCATAAGGAAGATTACAAATATAATAGCACTTTAACTGGGGATACTGTATACAACATTTAGTTTTATAACAGAATAAGTGAACCACCATAAAGAAGATTACGTAAAATAAATTACTGGAAGTAAGGACATTGTATGTGACCTTTAGATCCACTTTTATAACAGAATAAGTGAACCACCATAAGCAAGATTACCTTTAATAAAGTACTTGAACTGGGGACATGGTATGTGACCTTTAGTTCCAGTTTTATAACAGAATAAGTGAACTAGCATAAGGAAAGTTACTCACTAAATATCTATGCTGGGGACATGTGAAATTCAGTTTGAAGACTGTAACAGAATAAATAAACTTCATAAGAAAGATTACATATAACAAAACATGGAGACATTTAGTTTAAGATGTGTTTTTAACACAGTACATAAGGAATATTATGTAGAATTTAAGAGCTAAATATATAATAAGTTCAATTTATACTTCAAACAGGTCAGTTTCTTTAACTTTAAGCAACGTTCATCGTATTTCAATGAGTAATGTTTGTTTTTCAGGTTGGATTGGTGTGGTACTAATTGTGTTTTGTTGTGTTAACGCTGGCTACTGTGGGGTTATTTTGGGCCGTTGCTGGGTGATGCTAGAAGAGAGGTGGGAAGAATATCAAGAAAAGATTCGATATCCTTATGCTGCCATTGGATTACGTGCATCAGGTCGTTTCATGAGGTGGGTAAGATCCTGGTGGGAATACTAAATAACTTTTAATAACTATCACAATAAATTAAGGTTAATGATTTTTTGTGTGAAAATGAGGATAACTAACGATAATACCTTTATGATATTTCAGTATTTTATACTATTGAATACTTATTTAATACTATTTCAATAGCTAGTGAGGTTAATGACTGTTCTAGATATTAAGTATCATAAATTTTACGTTATTTTGACATCTATACTACTGCGTGCTATCACGTGATTTGTATAATGTCCAAACTATAACTGTCTAATCTTTGATCACCCAAGGACCCCATCTCTCCCCGCCCCCCCACGAAAATATCTATATAAATATAATAGTACTGCCTGTTGTATGTCCATATGTAACTACTTCGCAGCGTGTGGATGGATCTTCACCAAATTGGAAGTTCATTGGGACAGTGGGGAGATACATATAAATTTTCAGTTTTTCGGGTTTTATGGGCGTTTTTACGTTTTTTACCACTACCTCATCTCCTGTGGATGTGTCTTCACCAAATTTGGTATGGAGGTTCATTGGGTCCGTGGGGAGATGCATACAAATTTTCAGTTTTGTGGTTTTTATGGAATTTTTTACAATTGCATATCAGGGAAGCAACTTTTCGTGTCCTAAGATAAACTTACATTCATGATGAATTTACATAACTCCAGCTAGTAATAAATAAATAAAATTTCTTTTGTCAAATGAATAATCGAAACTTTAAAATATCAAAGTTAACTTATAAACTGAATTCGTGTAAAGCTGGTATTTATTCATATTTTTTTTTACTCAAATAACAATGTTAATAGTTTTAAAGGTCTAATTTTTATTGGGTATAAATTTTTGTTTAGAAAAGTGTCATCTAAGTATTGGTGATAGAATTGCACTTATTGGTTTTTAATGAATTTTAATCACTTTTCTCTTCAAGGGTTGCAGTATCTTTTTGTGTAAATTTTACACTGTTTGGAGTGGCAACCGTATTTCTTCTTCTGTCCTCTCAAATGATCGCTTCTTTAGCGGAGAAAGCTGGCATATATTTCTGTTATTGGGTTCTAATACTAGGAGCCATTTTGTGTCCTTTAATGTGGTTAGGAACGCCCAACGATTTTTGGTGAGTGATTTAAGATTGTAAAAAGAGATATTTTTCTTGAGATAATGGTGAAAGTGATTCACTAGATTTGATAATGCCATTAAAATAAAATTTTATCGTGAGATTTTTCACTGTACGAAATGCTTTTCTTGATATAAATGCTATAATAAAATGATTTCCATCGACAGGAAATCGATTGATTGCTTAATTTACACGCTAAGGCACCGGCCAAAGCACAGGCTGTACATGAGGACTTGCATTTAATATCAGAATTTATTTATTAAGGTTGGTGATGAGAAACAAAGTGGGCAGATAGTATCTAAACAGTTAAGCAAAAATTAGCATCAAAAGGAAAGACTGCGTTAAAAACAACAAATCCAAACCTGTGATGAACGACGTTTTAAAGAACAAAACAGGACCACAAAATTGAAGACGCTGCATAAATTAAATATATCTCTAGATACAGGCTATAATGTGAGACATAAAATGTGCCTTGAGTTTTGGAGGTGACTGGGGAAGTAGGACAAACATTGCGAGGGGGATACATCGTTTAAAAGTTTTAACCTCCATTCGCCAGTTTCACATGTTGAAGAAATAATAATAATAATCAAACAAACTAAATGTAAGTTAGGAGAACAAGATCTGAGTGCTCAAGCCCACAACCTGCCACATCTATATCGCACTTCACTACCTGTGGGAAGGTGACTGCTCTCCAAAGTAATAACATATATTAGAAACGAAAGGTTCTAAATTCTATTGAATCTAGGCCTATTATCAAATTTCGGCGTTTAATCCGTAACTTTCAAAGAATATACTGCATATATTGCATTACAGAAAAACTGGTCTTGCATCGTTCAGCCCAATTGACGAATTCTTGTACTATGAAATGATTCTCTTTTTTTTTGGGGGGGGGGGGGAGCATGACTTGTGGGAGACAAAAGATAAATCTGATATGTCATTATTACACGCTTCTGATTTTGAATCCGAAATGGAGGAATGTGAAGATAAAAAATCAGCAGTTTGTTTGTTTGTTTTTAATTTCGCGCAGGGAGGGCAGCTGGTCATCACCACCCACCGCCAACTCTTGGGCTACTCTTTTACCAACGAATAGTGGGATTGACCATCACATTATAACGCCCCCACGGCTGAAAGGGCGAGTATGTTTGGTGTGAGAGGGATTCGAACCCGCGACCCTCAGATTGCGAGTCGAGTGCCTTATCCACCTGGCCATGCCGGGCCAAATCAGCAGTTAAAATGATATTTATTATAAGAAAATAAATTGCTACATACATATCTTTTGTGTAAGAATATAATATCGAAAATAAAACACATTTCAGCAGAGCACAGTGAGTAACTAAAATAAATGATTAAATAAAACATCAGTAGATATGGTAGACAGAAGATATGGAAAAGCAGTTTTAAAATATATATATAAAAGAACGTCGCTGAATTTTAAAAGTATGTACAAACTCGTGTAATGTATAAGAAAAGCAATAAACCGTATATAATTTGTGTTTTTAGCTTTACTGTGTGTCATAATGATGGTTTATGTTTATTGCTTGTTTGTCTATTGTGTAATAATGGTGGTTCTTGTTTATAACTTTACTCTGTGGTCTGTAATAATGGTGGCTTATGTCTAAAGCTTTACTGTGTGGTGTGTAATAATGGTGGCTTATGTCTAAAGCTTTACTGTGTGGTGTGTAATAATGGTGGCTTATGTCTAATGCTTTACTGTGTGGTGTGTAATAATGATGATTTGTGTTTAAAGTTTTACTGTATGGTGTGTAATAATGATGGTTTGTGTTTTTAGCTTTACTGTGTGTGTCATAATGATGGTTTATGGCTTGTTTGTGTATTGTGTAATAATGGTGGTTCTTGTTTATAACTTTACTCTGTGGTCTGTAATAATGGGGTTCTACCAGTAAGTGAGTGTAGCAGCTCAGAATGGAAGTTTTCGTTTATATGCTTTTTGTAAAAGGACGTATCTAAGTTGAATATTCGTTGTTTAACTGTAAATATTTTAGTAATCATATCTGATGAATGTCTTACTGAGATACAGCGTGAGTGTAGAGTGAGAAAAATGTTAAAGCTCGCAAAATGTAAATAACTTTATTGATGAATACGAAAACCACGGTTCGGGAAACATCGGGTATTGGGTGAGAATAAAGCTGTTAATAGAAGAGTTAGGGTGAAAGAAAACAATTAATAACACGTGGCTCAAAGACTAGAGAACATATTGTTAAAGCTACAAACTAACTAAGAGCAGTGACATACAAATATAAAAATAGTAATACATTGAATAAATTAAAGCTACAAACTAACTAAGAGCAGTGACATACAAAGATAAAAAATAATAATACGTTGAATAAATAATAAATTAAAGCTACAAACTAACTAAGAGCAGTGACATAATAACTTTAACTTGAAACTATTATCACATCTACTAAATATACTGATAATGTTTATAAATGTAGCTGTTTATACAGGGTAATTAAAAACTGGCAGACTATTTAGAGTAGTTTTGGATTAATTACCTGTGTTATGTATTATTTATGGTACTGCTGATTTGTTTTAGTGTGTTTATGGGTGAAGCAAATTTAACAAACAACGAAAATTCGAAACACACAATCGAATCACCTTTTCCTTTCAAAACAGCATTTGTGATGAATTTATCAATCATACTAAAACGTTTACTTCTTTTTCAGGAGTTTGTTGTTTTATAATATAGCAAAATCATAACATCTTTATGAAATGTGTTTCTTTTCACCTTCCAGGCCTGTTGCAGTTGGAGCACTGGCAACTACAATGATTGCCTGTTTCCTGTTGTTCATAAATATTTTGACTGACAAGACCACAGAAAAAGACCTCATCTATCCAACGCCCTCTCTAAAGTCGTTTTTTCTTTCATTTGCAACAATACTCTTTTCATTTGGTGGTGCTTCCTCGTTTCCTACAATTCAGAATGACATGAAAGACCGGACGAAATTTCCCATTGCCGTGACCATTGCTTTCATTGGTAAGCTCTAGTGAACTGGACTTCTTAATCAGATATAATTCATCTGGCTTGTATCTGTATACACGTGTTTATAGTGTGTATTTATTTCACAATTCTAATATGCTAATGAAGAAAAGCACCACCTGTCTTGTTTTAGTGTCATAAACTAAAAATGTGTTTTAGAACACCCATAAACATATTAATTAATGTCGTAGATGCCTTAGTGAGATTTTAAATTCACCACTCACCAAATAAGGAATCGACTGTGTAGTCAATTTAAAAATACGAAAATCACTTAGAATGAATTCAACTATTACACCAGTAAAGGTGTTAGCCATAGTGTGAAGAACAATTATATATTTTTATGAAATATAATACACTATATATACTGCCCCCCAGTTGCACAGCGGTATGTCTGCGGACTTACAACGCTAGAATCCGGGTTTCGATACCCGTGGTGGGCAGAGCACAGATAGCCCATTGTGTAGCTTTGTGCTTAATTACAAACAAACACTATATATAATATCTAAAATTTTCAAATACATTTTTTTTCTATACTCCATTTAAATTATTTTATATTATTTCATAAATAATTTTGAGCATTGAAATAATTTGGTATAATATAATGTTTTCCGATACGGCACATTACCTCCTCTCACGTATATAGCTATTCTCGTTCAGTGCTGCCCTCTATATGCACAACAATTTTCCCATGCCATAAGCCTTGAACTCCCACGTACCCCACGATCAGATCAATGTGGTTCAACTGCGTCTCGCATGTAAATCATCATGTGACAATCCTCAACCAATAGGAGTGCGACACACCCTCCTGATTCATGTGACTTCTTCTATTTGATTCTACCGAATTATTACTTTTCGAACGCTAGAAACCGGGCAGAGCACAGATAGCCCATTGTGTAGTTTTGTACTTAAGTACAAACACTTGTTTATTTATTAATTTTATTTTTTGTGAAGTAGTGATTTATCTGACTTATTCATTTGCTACAGTTAGTTTTCTGTAGTAGTTTGCCATGATAAATTACCTTTGTTTATTGATTTTTTCTTCACGGTTTAAGATGAATTCTAAAGTTTGTGTTTTAAAGTTTTTAATATTATTACTACTACGTGGAGTGACATTACAGGCTTCAGGTCTGGGGGTCTCGACTGGGGATTTTTCGGCTCTCATTCCTCGGGTTCCTCCTGCATTTTCGAACCTGTTCTAATGAAGAGGACTTTGACAACCTTTTTCTTCCTCCTAACTATGATGTGCTTTCCTATGCATCTACTACGGAATCTACAAGACATAACTCTGCCTTTTTGGATAAGCTTTCTCAGGTGTGTTCCTTTTTCTTGTTTTCACCGATTTTCTATGATACTGTTCCTTCCTTGTAATAAGGCATATGTCGTTAGAGTACCTTGTTTTCCATTCTCCCCTGACATCAGGGTTCATGCTGAGTATTTTGTTTCTCAGTTGAGGGCTGGTGTTAGCATGCCTCGTCCTTCATGGGTTTCTGATCATTATGCTTTGGCTTATAGCCACCTTTCTCGACTCCCAGCAGTTTGAGTCACTTTCGCTAATGTGGGGGACTGTTCCTAAAAATTCTATTCATATTTTTCTCACGCCCAGTTTCCTTCCTTCATCTTACCCTTACAGCTCACCTACAGTACTTGTCCAACATACATCCCCTTTCTAAGGCACTCCAACGATCTCTGAGTGGTTTTCTAGTGATACCCTTTTCCTCCTTACCTCCTCGTTGGTGTGATTTTCCTCTTTGGCCCCATCCTTTCACACCTGATTTTGTTGCTGTTGGGATCTTATTAGGAAGGACGCTGTCTTGTCACAGGTTCATTTATCTTCCGTTTATCTTCTTGACTTCCAGGTGGCTCCTTTTTTTTATTGGTCTGTTTTGGAGATTTTCCCGAGTCTCTGAAATCACATGTGGAATCTGCGAGTCCACATTAGACCCTTTAGACTTTGATTGCTCGTTTGTCTCATTCTGATCCCATGACCTCTCCCATAACTAATTCTCGTCCTGCAACCTCCCGTCCTTTACCAGTTACTACCACTAGAGGTTTGAAGTTTCGCCATGTGTCTCGACGTCGGGTTCATCATCGCCAGCAGTTCCAGTGACTATCAGGTGGTTTCTGGTTTGGTGGGGTACATGTGGCCGATTTTGTTTCCACGTGGTGGGTATTCACTACCGTTTCTTGTGTGATCCAAGTTTTGTTAGAAGGACTTTTCATCCTTTTCCTTTCCCCACCACCGTTGTCTCCTGTACAGATTTCCTTCCCATTAACTCCCGCTACCAATCTGCATCTATCCAAGGCTATGCAGACCCTTCTATCACAGAGAGTAATCGAGTCTGGCAGTCAACCTTCTCATGGAGTACTTTATCACACTCTGTCTCCATATTCCTATTTCTCATCAGTCCAGATGATATCTTCAGTTTGTCTACTATGGGGTTGTGTATCAGTTTCGAGTTGGCATTTCGGACTTACTTCAGCATTGTATGTATTTTGTTGGGCCTTTGTCTGTGTTATGCATGCTCAAGGGTTGATTTACACCACTTCATAGATGAATGGCTCCTGTTAGCTCATTCTGAACTGGATTCTTTTCAACACACACACACCAGTTGCTGACAGAAGCAGCTCATGTTTGTTGAATTTTCAAGTTGGAAAATTTATTTATTTCTATTTGTCTACTCACTATCTCATCCACTTGGGTGTATTTTTCAACACCCACTTCATTCAGGCCATACCTTCTCCACTTCCCTATTTGATGGTGTTTGCAGTTATCCATGCACTTACTGCTCCCTTTGTTTCTGCATGTGAGGTTTTGTTGTTTTTGAGAACTTGAAGCCCTTTTTCCTTTGGGTGTGGCAGATATGCATTATCTTCAATGCACGGCCAATGGAATTTTGTTTGGGATCCGTTGGACTCCAAATTTACCCTTCCTCCTTCCCTCACAGTCAAACTGAAATGGTGGTTGAACAAGAAAAACACAATGAGAGGAGCACTACTTCCTCCACCTTGTCCAGATTTGCATCTGCTCACAGATGCTTCTCTCCAAGGTTGGGGAGCATGAGTCTATCAGGAGGAGGCTTCTAGACAATAAGCTCATATCATAATGTCTTCCCATTCAACATCTAGGAATTTCTGGCAGTACGAATTGCTTTGGTTCATTTTCTTCCTTTAGTACAGAATCAACATGTCATGCCCCATTCTGACGATTCCACCATTTGTGACCTATTTCAATCACTATGAGGGCAGCTGTTCCTCTTCTCTTTGTGATTGAATATTGGAAATCCTTTACTGGGCTCACATGCTGTGGAAATTCTCCTTGTGTGCCATATTCCAGGTACTTTTCACCTTGTAGCAGATCGTTTTTCAAGACCCGATTATGTTTATCCCATGGAGAGGTCTCTTGACCCTCAGGTTTTCAGGTGGCTATGCAATCAATGTGGTACTTCTTATCTGGAAGCTTTGACTACTTTAATAAAACACAAAGTTACCTCTTTTAGTCTGGCTCCTCATCCTCAGGCCCTATCAATGATTTTTCTCAGTCAGGAATGGACCAACTAGTACCTTTATATGTTCCTTTTGGATTCGTAGACCTCCTCATCATGCAGTTCTTCTGGATTGTCAGTATTGTTCTCCCCTGTCTTCCACTCTCTCCATTTGAATCTTTGTCCTCCTGTTCCATGTTCCAACAGTCCATTCAGACTTATTCCTAGTCCTTTTAGTGTGCGGATGTCGTCAGTCTGATATCATTGCCATCGACGTTTTATGTACTTTTTTTTCCATTCCACATATGTTCTCCTTTATCCAGGTCGATCATTCCAACTAAAAACTTCAGCGGCCCGTGAGCGATATTCTTCCTTCTTGCCAATTTATATTCTATCCATTTCTATGTTCAGTACATGCTTTTCATTGTCAAATTGCCTGCACAGCCACTTTTCGGGGTTTCCATTCCCACCATTCTTTCACTGGCACCATTCATCTGCATGTGACCTTTCTCCTTCTACCCTTACAAGTTGAGTTCACCAGCTGATTCGATTGATCTATTCCTCCCTGTCTCTTTCTTCCCGAATTCTGTTCCAGGTGTCTTCACATCAGATCAGGCACCTTACCTTTTTCCTGTCGTCTCACCTGCATTGTCCACTGGAAAAACTCTTCAGTCAAGCATGTGGCCTACACCTTATACATTGTCGGGGTACCTCATTCTACCTGTTGCCATCTTTCAAACTTTGGTGTGGTAATGATGGGTAAGTTATCTTATCTACATATATATATATATATATATTTCCTTCCAGTGTCATGTCCCATTTAGAATTAGGATCCCACTCAGCGGTGAACATTGCCTGTCCAGGTATGCTTCTTATCTCTCAAATCCACACGGTATGGCCAAGATGTATACCCATGGCCAATAATGCACACTGTTGAGATGTGGTATTCCACAAGATTGCTAGTAGGTTTTCCTTGTAATCTATTTGTTTCATAAGTATGCCCATTTCAGACCATATTAACCCATGGACGTACATGGGTAAAGCAGAAGGGAATAGCTGCCCATCCCAGGCACCCATTTGATTGAATAAATCAGGGGCACTCTATTTTTTAATATAGGGTTTTGTGGTCACCCATTGCAATGTATCTGTTGTTGGCATTCCTCCAGACTCACCACCTCATTTTTGTCCTCTTTGATCTTCTAGTGGAGTATGGAAGTTCTTGCCACTTCCCAGTTCTGAACCACTGGGGGTGTTAGACCATGGAGGAGTCCCCCTAAAGGTGGCCATTCCCATTCAGTAAAAAGTAGGGTAGTGGTGTTCTGCTGGTGAAAATGATATTCGATCCTCGAATCATGTGCTCCACCTCTATGTGGTGGGTCCTGGAGGTTGATGTTGAATCTAACTTTTGTGTAGTTTTATCCAGAGGATGAGGTTGCACATATTTACTAGAGGCGACCCACTTCTGTGTGGTGGGACCCGGAGGTTGGCATTGCACTCCAACTTCTGTATATTCTC